GATGAAACTACAAAGGAGATCTTCAAGGCAGCCATCAAGACAAAATGGGAGACATCGAGGAACATCCCTGAAGAAACCTGTGTGGAAGAACACTGGAAGTCTTTGAAAGCTATGTGGAAAGAAACCTGCACAACAGTATTAGGAAGGAAGAAGAAAGAAGACAAGGAATGGATCTCGACGGATACCTGGAAGCTGATAGAGGAGAGGAGGATGGTGAAGCAGAAGATAAACCAGTGCAAGGATGCTCAACGACAAGAGGAACTGAGCACAATGTATAAAACACTGGACAAAGAAGTGAAGAAGAGTGCACGCAAAGACAAAAGACACTTCTACGAAACACTGGCAAGTGAAGCAGAACAGGCTGCAGGTAAGAGAGACCTGACGACATTGTATCAAATAACCAGGTTGCTATCAGGGAAGAGACCAACACAGATGAAACCAATAAAAGATGAAGAAGGAAATTTAATTACAAAAGAAGAGAAACAGAGGAAACGATGGGCCGACCACTTCAAGAAGCTCTTGAATCGACCACCACCTGCACTTCGTCCAGAAATACCACCTGCAGCCGCTGAACTACAAGTGAACATTAATCCCCCAACGAAAATGGAAGTCCTGAACGCCATAAAGCTACTGAAATGCGGGAAAGCAGCAGGACCAGATGGAATACCGCCAGAAGCACTGAGAACAGATGCAGAGACAACAGCGGACATGCTCACACCACTATTGCAGAAGGTGTGGAAGGAAGAGAAGGTACCTGACGATTGGAAGAAGGGTTACCTTGTCAAACTGCCGAAGAAGGGAGACCTCAGTGCTTGCAAGAACTGGCGCGGAATCACTCTCCTGTCCACCCCAAGTAAAATATTAAGCCGCATCATCCTGGAGAGGCTTAAAGATGCACTGGATTCAAAACTACGACCGGAACAGGCAGGCTTCAGGAAGTACAAATCATGTGCAGACCAAATTGCAACGCTTCGTATCATCATAGAACAGAGCATAGAATGGCAATCACCTCTCCACCTCAACTTCATCGACTTTGAGAAGGCCTTTGACAGCGTCGACCGAGAAGTAATTTGGAAACTGCTTCAATACTACGGAGTACCGCAAACCTTTATCCGCCTCATTCAACAACTATATGAAGATGCTACATGCCAAGTAATCCACAATGGGAAGCTCAGTGATGCCTTTGAAGTGAAGACAGGAGTGAAACAAGGTTGCCTACTATCCCCCATGATATTCCTGATTGTGGTGGACTGGATCATGCAGCAAACAGTAGGCAGCGAGAAGAGGGGGATACACTGGACGACGGAAAAGAACCTAGAAGACTTGGATTTCGCCGATGACTTATGCCTAATGTCACATAAACTTGAAGATCTGCAGGCAAAAACTAACAAGTTGATAGAAGAGGCAGCTAAGACGGGACTTCAGGTGAATATAGAGAAGACAGAAGTGATGAAGATACCGCACCACCACCACCAACAACAACAACAAACTCCAATCACCGTCAACGGGAGAAACTTAAAGGAAGTAACCTCCTTCACTTATCTAGGAAGCACTGTTTCAACTACAGGCGGGACGGACGAGGACGTCAAAGTCAGAATCGGAAAAGCAAGACAGGCGTTCATTAGCCTGAAACCAGTGTGGAGATCTTCTGCACTCAGCATGCGGAACAAGATACGGATTTTCAACACCAACGTCAAGTCAGTGCTTCTGTATGGCTCAGAGACTTGGCGCGTCACGAAAGGTATTTCCAATAAACTACAGACATTCATCAACAACTGCTTACGCTCGCTGCTGAAGATCAGATGGCCAGAAAAAATAAGCAACAAGGAACTCTGGGAACGAACCAACCAAGAACCTATCACGCAACAAATATGCAGGAAGAAGTGGAGATGGATTGGCCATGCACTGAGAAGGCCGACTGAGGACATCACGCGTCAGGCCAGTTGCTCGAGTGGAATCCCCATGGGAAGCGACGAGTTGGACGTCCAAGGGTGACATGGAGGAGGTCGTGCGAGCAGGAAATGAGAGCTTCTGGGCTGTCGTGGGACCAGGTTCAAAAGATCTCAGAGAACAGAGGTCACTGGAGGCGTGCTACTGAAGCCCTATGTTCCACTAGGAACCCAAGGGACTAATAATAATAATAATAATAATATCCTGTAGGTTCCTAATGGAACATAGGGCTTCAGTACTACATCACCATTTCACTCTCTTCTCTTCAGTCTTTTCAATCCAGCTCCACCAATGCCCACAACCTCTCATTTCTACCTCACACATTATCTTCACTACATCACCCTCAGCTCGGACGCCCAACTCGTCATTTCACATTCGCCTTCCACTCAAGAGTCTGGCCTGGTGCATGATATCCCCAAACGGCATTCTTTCTCAGTGTATGTTCAGTCGAATTGATCTCCACTTCCTTCCACTGCATATTTGTTGGGTGATGGGTTGTTGGTTGGTTCGTTGCCATCTGGCCATCTGGCCAGCTAGGCAGCCAGCCAGAGTTCCTCCTTGCTTATTTTCACTATTCTGGTCATCTATTTGATCTCCAGTGTGAGTATTGAGTGAGTGTAGGAGGCAGTTTTTGATGTGGTGTGGTGTGGTGTGATGTGATGTGATGTATGTCTGTAGTTTGTTGGAAATGTTTTTCGTGACACGTCAAGTCTGTCAACCATCACATGGAAGCAGTGACTTGCATGACTGAATTAGTGTTGAGAATTCGGATGTTGTTCACGGTTTATTCTGATTGCAGTGGAGTGGAGTGTAGTGGAGTGGAGTAGATCTCCACACTGATTATTTCAGATTGATGCAGGAAGGCCAGTCTTGGTGTCTTTGGGATCCTCGCTTTGAGGTTCTCATCTGTGCCGCTGCCGCCACTTTCACCGCTACCGCTACCGCCACCACCACTGCGTGTGGTTGAAACGATGCTGCTTAGGTTGGTAGGTGGGTGAAGGATACAACTTCGTTTAGATTTCTTCCGTTGATGGTGACTGTTGCTTGTCGTTGTTGTTGTTGTTGTTGTTGTTGTTGTTGTTGTTGTTGTTGGTTGGGTATGTTCATCACCTCTATCTTGTCTACGTTCACCTGAAGGAGGTGGTGTTTTGCTTTCATGTGTCTTGTGCCAACTTGTTGGTTTTCGCTTTTAGATCTCAGAGTTTGTGCTACATAAGATACTAGACATAAATTATCATGGGCGAAATTCGAATCTTCTAGGGTGTTTACATTGGTCGAGCTAGCGTCTGCCGACCTTCTTGCTCCTAGAATCTTCTGAGTTGACGACATATTCCTAGTGGCTTACACTTTTATTATAAGATTCAGAAGAATTGAAAATATGCCGTACAAAAAGCAATATAATGTAAGCGGCACTAGGAATGACTGAACTTAAAGAAATGGGAAATCTATCAAAATTCGAAGCAGTAAGTGCCTATCATAAAATTTGTAAGTGTAATAACAAGAGTAAGGTCATGAGTACAGTGTGATGCATTCATGTATTAGTTTTCAGACAATCTGACTCCTTATTCACTTGTCAAGTTAATATACATGAAGACGAAAAAGAACAGGCATATACCTAGCACTTCAATAAATCTCAATGTCTGACCCTGACAGGAACGATATAAAACTTTAGATATTGTTTAGATATTATCTTCACAATCCATAAGCTAATGCTAGTTATCCCTTTTCCTATATATCTTGCCGTACTGTGCAGTTTTTAGCACTAAATACTTAGCAAGATACTAACGAGGTATTGCTTTGCCTAATAAGAATGAATTTTATTTTGGCCTATCATATAGCTGTGTAATACAGACAGGAAAGATGGAAGACACAAGAATGCTACTGGTGTGAGACTACTCTTATCGTTTTACCACTGACTGAGTTTTCTGGAATCATATGGTGTACAATAGAGATATAATGCATAGGTTCTTAGACTTAGAATCCAAATCCATTGATGAGATTGTGAAACTTTGACGACTGGGGTATCTGGGACATGTGTCACTTATGTCTAGTTACTGAGTGATTGATTAGAAGGAAAGAATTTATTGAAGAGAAAACAATCTGTCACGATTAGCTAATGCTGACAGGAGATCCAATGTAATGAAGCTTCACGAATACAATTAAACCACCAACTTTTAGTTAAAAGTGTTATTAGCGACTGATATTTGAATACAAGATATCCATTTGTACATACTTTAACATAACAGTTGTTGATGGGTATTCTTCATTCATTATCAGAAGGCAAGTGTAGTTTTCTTAGCTTTAGTACTTAGGTTAATCCAAATATGATTTAAAGAAACACCTACACGATCTTAATATTTATTATAATCCCAGCGTGTCTAGAAAATCAAAACAAGATATTTCTGAACGTATCGCATATTCTGCTGAAGAAGCTATGACCTACACAGCGAAACATTCAGAAATATTTTTGGTTTTGATTTTTTTAAACACGCTGGGATTATATTAAAATATATTCTTATAATGATTCAATCAGACTCGGCTCTCAACTTCTTCCAGGACATTTGTAACAACCAACTATGGTCTGGATGTTTATAATGATGTTAATATTTGTCGAGATCTCCGAGAATTTTCTTTAAGACGTTTTACTACTGATTTTTTTTCAAGTAGGCAATATGGATACTAAAAAAAACGAGGGCTTCAATTATTTATTGTAAATCAGCTGTTTGCTAATTTTACTAACGAAAAGATAGTCTTGAAATAAAAGGAGGTTCAAATGAACCGCTAAAATTGTTGTAGATATTAATGAAATTGATAAATTCAAAGAATAAAAAGTTATTCAACTTACAAGAAAGGAATTCTATTCATGAAATGATTGAATGGTTGATATAAGCACAATAAATGAATATACATTGTACAATGATGATTAAAAGAAAATGGAAACATTGAAACAAATCAAAATAACAATCATATATACCAACAAATAAAAGGAAATGCATTACTGGTTGATGATTTTTAATCATGAAAAAGTAGAATCATTTCACATAATTGCTTGATTCAATAAATGTCTAACTGGCTTAATGAATTAACAAAGAAAAATAAATTATTACTGACAAAGTTATGTACTAATGTCTTCCATTCATCTCATATCATTCACCTGTTGTATCAACAGCTTTAAATCCTTGATCTTTTTGTCTTAAATGATTAATAGCTAAGCCGAATAGTACGCAGACAACTAAGGCGCATAATGATAAACCAATTGCAATAGACAAAGTCATATCGTGTGAAATATCACCAGCACAGACAACACCTAAACAATTATGCGGTTAGAGATGAGGAAAGAAACAATCTTTGATATTGGTTATATCATATAAGATATGATCATCATTAGAAAAGTTAACGGGAAACAATGAACGAATAAGTATCTGAACTTTTTGACTGAAAATAATAAACTAAATCGTATTACTGACATCAAAACCACCTATTATCACAGAAACAGCGTTAACTCCTTTCTTGTTCGCGTTTGGGATTTCCCCTTCATATTCCATTTTTATCTTCATTTTTATACTACTTAGCATTTGTGAGTAGTATAATTCACATCCCCTTATAAAGTTACTTCGTCTACATCTTTAGCTGTTCACTGTTCAATCGTATCTTGCTCACCATTTAACATCCGTCAATATTAGTATCTTTTACCGTTCATAATGGTGTTGCAACTTATTTCATTGTTCCCTTATTTCCTATTTTATCTTGGACATTTGGTTATCTTGCTTCTTTATCTCATCATGAAAACTTACGCACATTCTTTATATTCCCTTCTGGTAACCTGGACAAAGCTTTGTTGTTTTTGTTGTTGACGCACTGTTTGTAAAGTGCTTTGATAGCGATAAACTCATGTATACTTCACAACTCGAGGTCTGTACTCTGTTACTCAATATTGCTTATCAGTATATAACCGTTTTCGATTTTACGCTTAACTCTGGCGTTTATTGTTGAGAAGGCATTTGTTCACTTTGTTTTCTTGGAAAGAAATTCACACACACAGTTACCTCTTGAGGTGTTTATTTTAGTAGTTGCGAGCCATGAAGGAGGTTAATTATTGTTTCATACACCACTAACATTAACTTAAATTGATAGATTACCTCCAGTCAACTAAACTCATCAAGTATACAGAGATAGTAAGCGTCCTAGCCTGATGGCCACATTGCAAAGTGATCCGTACAATTAGGTCAGCACTTAGGACTAGATAACATGAAATCAGTTGGTCTCCAGTGACTAATCAGTGTATCTAACCGAGCCCTCAAGGAGGCCAATCACGTGCGGAATAGCTCAGCGGCAACATTGTTGACTACAACATTGAATGACTTGGGTCCAAATGCTAGAGGAAATGTCAATTCCCTTCGGTTTGCAAATATGCTGACAGTCTTAAAACTTAGGTCAAACAGGATTTCCTCTTAATTGCCTTCAACCAGCTAACAGATAATCAATTTAAACTTTTAGTAGTGGATAAGCATTAAACAGAGTGGAGTAGTATGCAATCGAGAATGGTTATGTATCAATAAACTTGTCTAAATTTCAACCAGGTTGTTCATAAGAAACCAGTAGACTGAAAGCAGTGCTAAACGAATCCATATCAGAAAACTTAGCAAAAGCAGAGACTGACTTCTTCTCTTTGGTGAGATAAGATAACAAAGTATCTTTAATACTAAAAATCGACCAAACAGAATTCAGACAGACACCGAAAATACAAATGATGACTTGATAAAACATAAAAGGAAATACATTCCGCATGAGTTAAAAATATCATCAGTCGATCAATAAGTACACTTAACCTAAAAACTAAATGATTTGTAATTACCGCTTAGTGATGCATTCAATATGTTCAATGTTGAAGTTATACTGTGCAAAGGCTTTTTTCGGGAACAGTAATTAAACATGTTTTGTTCTTCACTTCTATGCAAATTGAACAGGTATCCGGGTTATTCAAAAAAAATATTCTTTCAAGTTAAGCAGTAAATACTACTTGAAGATATTTTTTAGTATGAATTTATGTAGGTTGCCAGAGTACTTGGAAACTGTCATCTCTACCTTCATAACAGCCTGAAACTAGGACAGAACGGAATATTTCTCAAATTGGTATTCATCATGGACTGACATAAGTTGGAGGAACATTGGAAACATTGGGGTACTACATATCCGCTTCACTCCGGCATCGGACTCCTCAGGAGTGCGAACCCACGACCCCGCCCAGCTAGGAGTCGAACCGACAGCCTTCAGGTCCCATGGCTAGCACGGTACCATCGAGCCAGCGAGTCACATACCAGTGGTCCATATTTTCAACTTCTGTTAGTTCGCGACATAGCGCCACCGTCACCCAATATCAACGTTGAGTATTTGTCCTTATGACCACTAGGTTTACCCAACAGATCAATACTTCTCATTGGATCTTCAGGAATCACCTCTCGAATCTAATCACCAATGAGCATTAGTTCAGTTGAATATGGGGGGTCTGTGGAGATTAAATGAATTTTCAGGAGGGTGTTCATCATAAACTGACATCAGTTAGAGGAACATTGGAAAAAACAGCTGTCTATTGTTCCCAGGTTTCCAATGTTTCTCCATCTGATGTCAGTCCATAATGAATACCAACTTTAAAAACCATTATATCTCCAAAAACTCCCAAATTAAAAACAAAATATACTACAGAACAATTTGAGTAGTTATAGAAACCACTAATGTCTAGATTTCATTAGCTCATGACACTTTGTGATCTTGCCACGAGAGGGGATAGTTACCAACGGAAACATACCTTGTTGACATCACAGTTGAGTAGTTGGAAAATTCTTCATCTAGTGTAAATGTCAATATGGACCGGACAGTTTGTAAATCATTTTTTGACGAAAAAACTTTTGAGTGCTCATAAGTTTTCTATAGTTCCTTAAATCATTCAGTTATCTAAGACAAAAATCGCATATTTTCCAGAAAATTTCGGTTTCATTAGTTCTTAATGAGTCGATAGAAAGATCTTTAAAACATCTGTTGATTGAAATTAGATTTAATTACTGGAAGTAAAAGTATGATATCCAACACCAACTAATTATTCAACATTATTGCGTTTAATAGTGTTGTTATTAACATCATTCGGAAGCGGTAATCATTTCGTTTGAATATGTTGTTCTGGTAGTGAACTAGCTGAGAATCTCATACTGTATAACATATATTTTTGTGAATAAAGCGATGATCACAATTTACTTGGTTATGGTTAGCAGAAGAATCTAGGACGTTTGTTCCGTCTCATTTGAGACTTGTCAACCGGATTCACCTTCACCCCGGTCAGTGGTGTTGTCGCGGTTGAGACTCGACCCTCGAACGCATCGCTTCAAACTGCAGGGTGGTATTCATTAGGCCATGGAGCCACGATAGCTGCCTCTTGTACAATGGTTATCAGTTATTACTATTTATAGATATGCTTGTTACTAACATTCAGGCAATATCCAGGCATCCGCAAAGGAGGACACATGCCAAAAGAGGTCGAACAATTTAATTCAGTAAAACAACGGAGAATTACGAGCATATCCACAAATAGTAATAAAGCGGTTATTATTAGGAAGCGAGAAGGCATTAGGAATTTTGAATGTCCGATAATGCATATTATTAAAAGCCAAAGGTGTGGACAGTCAGATAGCTTTGTTCTGTGTTCTTTCAGGTCAAATCATACAACATTATCAGTATCAATTTACATATACTATATAAGCAAAACTACAAAATTGAGTCCGTTTAATATCACTGTACAACCAATCATATCATCAAAGTAATTTGATTATGAGCAATAATGAAGTCGAGATTTAATATACAGTTACACTCTATGACAGTGCTGAAGTTTTACACTCCTATAGAATTTCACTACTCTCAGAGGAGGTCAGATAGTTTGAGCAAACTATGCGTAGATTAGCACGTGACACTTTCATGCATATCTTCTGGTTACAATTTATCAAAATGACACAAAAATATCAACAATATTACTGAAGAGTCTTATCAATATATTACTACAAAATATACAAAACAGTAGAGAATATTTGTGGCTCAAGTAGATGGTCTTAGCTGTATTGTGTTCTCTGAGATGGGATGTTTAATCGTGAAGCTTTCATCATCTTTCTGGACGACATCATCAGCACTAACTGATGATGATGATGAAGACGATGAAAGCTTCACGATTAAACGTCCCAGCTCAGAGAACACAATACAACCAAGATACAAAACAATAATCTAACCTTGTAAACCTAAAGTATGAGAAAATTTTATACAGAGCTTTCATACTTTCTTACTTATACTTATTGGTAAAGTATTTTATTTAACGTGTTCACAAATATTTCAAACAACTTAATCACATTATAAGTAAACTCTTTATCCTCATTAATCGGAAGGTAGTTTAGTTACTGATTTTATTGGGGCAAGAAAAAACGCTTATCTATTGGTAGCAAATACAAATTACAAACCTTATTTATATAATGTAATACATCACAATAACTTCTTTCCTGTTATCTATATCTAGAGTTATTCAGCAATAGATGGGATGTAGTATTGTTGCATATCAGTTGAGTTTGTTACACCTTATGTCAACAAGATGAAAAATGGTCAAACTATGCATAAAAATGGTTTCGAAAGTCTTAGGAAATCATTTGAAGGTAGAAAGGTGTGGTAAATGAAAAACTCAGCTGGATTCGGTGTATAGCATCAACTTCATTCAATCTTCTTACTGATGGATAGTGGCTAGCAGTGGAGTTCAGGATGCCTGTTTCGTTCTATTTAGGACTCATCAGCTGAGTATATCTTAAGCCCAATGAGCGATGTTTTTCTCATTAAGACTAATTATATCAAGTCTCTAGCTAACAAGTACTTTACCTGTTTCAACTCCAAATCGATTTAAAAATTGATAAATATTTATAATGAACGCGGGTGGGGTGGAAAAACAGGACATACTGATGGCATACTATATGCTAACTTTTGTAAGAATCTTCTCAAGACTTTATAGATCGAAGTAAGCGAAGTAATTAGGAGTGTAGCCAGTAGACACTTAGTAGATACTGGACATAAAGATGAAATTGGCTTACCTTTCATCATAAAAAGTATACATGTTAAGTTGACAATACCCTATAGAAACCATTGCCACTGAGTAATTTGTAACCTGACATTTTACATAAAGAAGGACATAATAATCTTGGTTTTGACACATCATTTTATATTTTATTCTCACTGATTGAAATAAGTTCATCCATAGGTTCTTCAATCTGTGCACATTTTCACTTGATT